TATCTATCTATCTATCTATCTATCTATCTATCTATCTATCTATCTATAAGATTACTTTTTATCAAATTTTTTAAAACAATGAATCCATGTTTAAACGAGCTGCTCAGTAATTGCCTGTATTCTGTTTGAATGTACTACAGCATAAACAGCTCGCTCTTCTGCACTGGTTTCATTTTAAACTTCAAGGAAAAACAAACACATAAATAAATGCCAGAAAGCTTTAATCATCACACTTGATTCAAGTTGCAAAGAGATACTTTTAAAATGGACCTTTCTTGGATTGTTTCTTGTAAGTAATCATGTAAAAATATCTTCCTTTAACAAGGAATACGCCTTCTGTAAGTACAGTTTTTTGCACAAGTGTATATCTTAATTAATTTCTACCTTTTGCAGGTAGTCTACAATTAATTGGTCCACATAATAGATTATTTTTTGTGCTTTGATGATCCTCTTTCGACTGCTAAAATCTTTTTTCTATTCACATAAAGTGCAATAAGTTATCCAAAGTACCCGTCACAGGACAGCTTGGTTTAGGTGTTTGGTGTTCTGATGAGTGGACATTTAAAAAAAGGAAAGAGCTTTTCCCTTCCCGTCATCTCTCCCTCTGAGCGCAGAGCCTCCTCTGTGATGCAGGCTGAGCAGTTTGTCCAGCAGATGGAGCTTTTAGTCCCTGTTCTGTCTCAGCCCTTCAGACTTTGATGTGTACCTGTCAAAGGAACAAGACTGTGAGTGGAGAACACAAGTGGTGTAGAATTTTCATTGGACTGTTTCACAGAGAGGCATTTACACCAGTTGCTAATACTTAAGCTTTCAAGTGATTCAAGAATTCAAAGTTTTGTTCTTGTTGAAGAATAAAGAGAAAAACGTGCGTATAATTAAGCATTTAGATAGTTTTTCTGCGCATTCGTTTTTACTAATTTTGTACAGATTTCTTCACAAGACGGCCTTTATGATTTTTGTTATATACAAACAAGTTAGAATTGAATTGTTTTTAGCAGGAATAGCAAGTTTTCCACATATCTCCCCAGCAGGCAACGCTCAGCTGAGGGAGAGACGGGTTGGAATTTGTCCACAAAATATGTGAGAGCCCCTGGGTTTTATGAAGGTGAGTTAGAATATTTGGCTGATGGGAGTTTTTTTGTTGTTTTTTGTACTGGTTGGAGTGCTAGATCCAAGTTTGGAGTTCAGACGGACACATTAAAGATGCTGCACTCCAGCTTTGTAACATCAGAGAGACATATGAGAGAGGGTTCAGTTCAAGCACTACAAGCTTAAATGTATCAACACCTGTTAATACTCACGGTCACACTGACTGAGCATGTGATCTTGTTCAAGACACGCTGGATAAAAGACGGTCATATTTTCTTAAATTCACAGATTAGGAAACACAGAGGCATTTCTCACCCTCTAGGATTGCGTTTTCATTGATTTTCTTAGCCCTTTAAAGCCTGATCCAAGAAAAATAGGAAGAATATTGGATTTTTTCATTTTGAAGTCTTTCTTTGGCCCCTCAACAACATGAAGAAAAAAAAAAGAAATTATTTTGATCAAATTAGCGTACAATAAGTAAAAAATATATGTTGGTGTAGTCTTCTACTGGCTGTTATCAGGTATATCTGAATGTGTACAACAGGGGTTTGAGCAAAGATTTTACCACTGAATGATGCAAAAAGTCTCAGATCCAAAAGACTTCAGAAACCGCATCTATCAAATATGATATATTTGGCATTATAGGGTTAGCATGTGTGAGTAGAAGCGCGTTTAAGATGTGCACCGTTTTCCCACCTCGCTCAGCAGAACCCAGACGTCGGAATCGGAGTGAACGACCAGGCGCAGGGCAGACACCGGCTGCAGCTCGTCCCCGATTTCGCCTTCGGCCGCTCCGTTCTGGAAGGCCCCTGAAAAACAGCCAGCGGGGGGCGAGGCTCCATTCAACTGGTCTGAATGGCGTGAATGTGCAGCTGACAGCTCTGACATCCAGACCCTGCAGACCCCGTCTCCAGTTTTCACTTGCTCTGTGCGTCCGATATCTATTTACTCCCCAGTGTGTGTGTGTGTGAGTTTGTCTTTATTACTTTGTGGGGACCAAAATCGGACAGCACTGTCACGGTGTGGGGACCAAAATTATTGTGGGGACCAAAATCCTGGTCCCCACAAAAATGATTGCAGATTCAGTGAAAAAAATTACTCCCCATTGTGTGTGAGTTTGTGTGTGTGTGTGTGTGTGAGAGAGAGAGAGAGAGAGAGAGAGAGAGAGAGAGAGAGAGAGAGAGAGAAAGATGCAAATTCGGGCATTCTGAGAATTAGTTGTGACATAGAGATGGGGGAGCGCAGAGATGAAGATATGTAAACTAATCATGCATTCCTTTGCATGGCGAGTTGGGTGGGTGTTTGTCAGGTGGAGCCAGCTAGGCAGGGGGCCTAGCAGTTTGCCTGACAGTTTGCTGCCGATTGTTTACGTCCAGATAGGTGCTGCAGGGAAACCCCCTCATCTCCATTTCTCCATCGCCCTGTCTCTCGCTCCATCATTCCCGTTTTCTTTCGCGTTGTTTTCCTTTCCCCGGGATGGGGGTGACATGTGGGGTGACCCTAAAGCTAAGAGTTGTGTGTGTCTGTGCACAGATAGCTCTTGAAACAAAAATACACATGCACAATTATATGTCTGTTCTGAAGTTGCTGGATTTATGTGCACATAAGCATTTAGTCCCTCCCACACTCAGAAAAAAAAATAGTGGCATAACAGATTCAAAAACACTAATCTTGGTCAAACACATAACCTGATTAAAAATATGTCTTAAAGAAGGCTAAGATATAAACAATCAAACAAATGTACCAACTGAAAAAGCTTAGATGTGCCTATAAAAGAGCCCACATCTCTGTGTAATTGGTCAGGCTCAGGGGTTTGCCTGCATTAGCAATGGATTTTATACATTTAAGGGAAAAAATGCCACCCACACAAAAAAGGCAGGCGAACACAAAGCCATGCAAAATTTCATACACATGCCAAAGGTAATCTTGAGACTATCTTTAACCGCAGTCTGACTGCACTGGGCTTTTGTGCAGGGGTATATTTTTAAAGAATTACACAAGATCATCCATCTATTACTGTAACTGCTTATTCCCTAATGGGGTCGTGGGGGGGACTTGAGCCTATCCCTGTAGTCAAGGGGAGAGAGGCGGGGTCGCACTGGACGGTCCACCAGTCAATCATAGGGCCACACGAGATGATTTAAGGTTAATTTATGGAAACATGACTCTCCATTTCACTTAGTTTAACCCTGCTCTCAAGCACGACCGCATGCTTTTAATGTGTGCATTTTGTGTTTCAGTTAAAGTCGTTGGCAGGCTCTTGATCGCACAGTGACATCATACACTGTACTGTAGCCCATCTCCTGTTTTCACCTGCTCTGCGTGTCAGATGTCTAGTTACTCCCCAAAATCCTGGAGGCTGTCTCTGTTCAGGTTTCTAACTAGTCGCATTATTATGAAGTGATTTGCCAACTAAAATACTCTAAATTCTATTCTATGGGTACCTGGCAGCCAGTGATAGGCTACATTGTACATTGTTACGATGTTACTACAACCGTGTGCAGATTTTGCATTTTTTAGATTTGTAGATAAACACTGAGTCCGTATGAAACATTAATGACATCCACAGTCCTACCAGATTCTCCAGTGGCTGTACAGCTGCTGTCATGCTGCTGCTGACATCAGTGACAGATAATCGTAACATGCACAACATGTGTTCAAAATATCCTTGTATTATCGATTATTTGCTTCAAGGCCATCTTCACAAAGGAGAATATCTGTTCGTCCACCCAGATGACACGCTCAGGCCAAAGACTGCCAGTAACCCAGGGATATTAACTAATCACTTACTGATAACCCAATAAACCCTGTGTGGTCCAAATACCCGTTCACCTCTACTTTCTGGTTCCATCTGGAGAAAGTGTGAGCAAAGTCTCTGTCATTATAGAAGCTGCACTCCCTAAAGATCTCAGAGCTCTGCTGGGTTTATGTTAAAAATAAAGATCACTAGCGTATTCTCACCCATTATTATGAAGTGATTTGCCAACTAAATTCTATTCTATAGATTCTATTCTATAGATACCTGGCAGCCACTGATAGGCTACATTGTACTGTTACAATCTTACTACACCCGTTCACCTATACGTTCTGTTTCTGTCTGGAATGTGTTGGCACAGTCTCCATCGTTATAGAAACTGCATGCTTGGTCTAACAAGTCGAGCAGCTCTGAGTGCCTGTGTGAAGCCTGTTCCTTAATCTTTTCAGGGCAATTACTGGAACAAAGATCACCAGCATAGCCAAACACATACGCCCCTACATTTGACACAATGGGCCTGGAAGTCGTCCTGAACCATTGCAGGAAAGCAGGTCCCTGGTTTCTGTTTAGCCTTTAAAATGTGGCGCATGTTGCCTGCATCAACACACAGCTCCCTACTTCAAAAGTCTGCCGTTGACTGAAGCCTGACAACAAGTCCTGGTCAGAGATGCATGACAGGTTTTCCATTGTTCTACAGAAGTCACTAAATCGACCTAACCCACATCTTCACATTCCAAACAATGTCTATCTCTCTTCAGGGAATTGAAGATTGACAGGCATTTTGATTCGCAACATTACAGCCATCTTCTGCCACAAAGGACATGGCACCTCTTCTTAGAACTCGTTCCCAGTGAAGAAGCAGGAAGTGACAAAAATAGCTTTTCTGAATTTTTCAACATTTCTTCTGTCTCTTCCAACCCCAAAGTGAATTTGTCAGACAGCTGGGAAGCTTCATTTCATGTCCTTACCAACAACAACGAAGCCCTCATCCTTGTATAGAGAAGATGAATCATTAAGCAGTAGTTTTTTTGCGAACGCCTGAAAAAAAAGATAAAAAAGAAGCTCAAACAGCAGTCAAATGAGTTGGGTCTTACTTTTTTACTTTAATGCAAAGATTGTTATGTTGATGATTCTCAGTTGTACCTGTCCATTAAGCCGGGTGACATGAATCAACTGATTAAACCTCACGTCTGTCACTCTATATGTCACAAACTGGCCACACAGCTCCACAACCACACAACAAACACACTTTTGCAACCACAGACACAGCTACTCACGTTGCCGGGCAGCACTTCCACAGTTGTGTTGTGGAATATATCTCTTTCGTTTTTTATATTTCCACTGCGAAACAGGTACCTAGACGGAGAGACAGAGCACAGGTATAGCCCACTCAACTGTAATATCCAGAGATGTTGATGCATACAGGATGAAATACGGCCTCAAAACGGAGGCGAAATGGATCCTTATCAGCTGTTGCATTTAAAAACAAGATGTTAGAGTGACAGATTAAACTGCACACCGTGGCAAACACACTATTTTGGAACAAATAAGTCAAATAGACGGATGAATAAATGATAATAATACTAATTTGATCATACTGCCATAGGACACTTTAATAATCTTGAACAAAAAAAGAATCCCATGTGCATTTTGGGTAAACCTGTCCACACATCCACAGTTCATTGAGTGTAAATTCATTATATCTCTGTGCAATTTGCTGTCCTTAATACGTCTATACACTCTTTCTACAGACAATAGGTCTATTTTTTCATATGTAGTCTTTTAGATACAAATATATTTTGTACATCCTTCTGAATGAAAAAATCCTGAGACTTCCAAACTCAACACTATCTCAAATTGTATTCTCTACTGTATAGCATTTTGCACTTTTACATTTGTTTCTGTTTTTTCACATTTTTACATAGCTTGAGTGCATTATTGACTGTGCTGCTGTAACAAGTGAGATTACTATAGGACTATTCTATTATATGTGAGATAATAACTTGATTAATGATTTCTCCAAAACAGAGAGTAACCTTGACATCATCCTCTAAACAAACAAGCCTCGTTCACTTATTTCTACCTGTTCTGCCATGACCGTTAATCTTTAACATGCAAACTGAGGCCTGTAGAATCTGGGCTTTTAACCCAGCTGGGACATCCCCTTCTGGGGAGGTTGGCAGCTGTCCTAAATGTTTTCCATTTTCCATGCGCCGGCACAAATACACCTGGCTGACTTTGCTGCAATTGCATTTTTATTGTGACTTGTGACTTTCTACTCATATTTGCAATGTCTATGTCTACTACTTTAAGGAGGCCCGCAGTTGAGAGAAGGGCAATAGGGCACATTTTTAGTGTATGTTGTCTAAGGAAATAAATGGAAGAATATACCCAGATTCTGGATGTTTGACATCAGTTTAAAGATCAAAATGCATCTGCGTTTCAGTTGACACAATGGGTAACGAGCACCATCGGGTAGGAAACTGACCATCCAAATGAACTGCAATGAAGCTACAACATTTCATTACAACTTAAGTTTTTACAAATATGAAAAATGAAATGAACAATGTGTTTTTTTAACGCCAACTTAACCAATTCACGTTAAATTGAAATAATTGTTATTGTTATTAAATAATCATAATTTTCTAACATCAAAAGTTAGAACCTTCCTCTGGAACAGATTCCAAAAACTAAAAGTAAATAACATTTAACAAATTGTCCATAATGTGGAAAAAACATATTTGTTAAAAGACTACGTTTAAAAACCTTCTCAAAAACTGCAGAGACAAGGGTGACTTGTCAAATCTAAAACCGCTTTCTCCTCATTTTGGACACTCGTGAACAAACCATGCGAGAAAAATAAAGGATGAACCAACTGACCCAGATATGTAGATTGGCTGGGGGAAGCGGAAGAGGATGTAATCACCATGGACAGGTGTGATTGCCCAAAAAAAGCCTTGTCCTCCGTAGACCCTGTCCAAACTATGCTTGCTGTAGTGTTTCAGGCTGCTGTGGAGCTCAGCAAACGGGTTGCTGTGGGCCCAGTACAGAGTCTCCCTCCCAAAGTTCAAATCCTGGAGGGAGATGCATGAAGTGTAATTGAAAAAATATACATCCCTGCAGTGACAAATCCAAAGATGCCTTTGGGCATATATCTACCCATTAAACATTCAGTTTGCAAGGCAAGCCTATTTGTATAGCACATTTCATACACAATGGCAACACAACGTTCATTCAATCGATGAATTAAACAAAAGTGGATAGAAAAAGATTTTGAAATCTTAGAAAAAGTTAAAAAAAGCACAGTAAAAATTGACTAAAGAGAGGCATGAGAAAACCTTGACCTGAGTGTGGAACATGTGATATCAAGAGGAAGATTCTTTGGGCATTATTACAGCTAAGTGCATTTTCACCTGCTTGGTCGTAAGTCCAGGTTCTACTAACTGACTATTTCCCTAAATATCTCAGAGCTGTGCTTGGTTTATGTTCAACAAGAGGATCAGTCAAGTAATCTGACCTATCATTATGAAGTGATTTGCCAAATAAATACCCTAAATTCTATTCTGTAGGTACCTGGCAGCCAGTGATAGGCTAAATTGTACATTGTTACAATGTTTATACTACATTGTTATCATCTTGCTACAATAATACAGCACTAAGAAGCAAAAGGAGCCATTTAAACTTTTCTGACACTTTTTATGAGACTGGCAGTGCTCACCTTTAAATTCTGTATTTTCCCAGGCAGAGAAGAGTGGAGGCCCACATGTTGAAAAAGGGAGGGCTCATGTCTCCGCTTCAGCAATGCCATTTGTTGATCACACTCTGTCTGAATTGGATGAAATATGAGTGAGGGCCAAAGCAAGGAAGTGGCTAAACTTTGGGCTCCTATCTCACTGCAGCCTGAAGTGACCCAAAATCCCATCCATCGATCCATCCATGCATCCATCCATCCATCCATTATCGTAACCGCTTATTCCCTAATGAGGTCGCAGGGGGACTGGAGCCTATCCCAGTGGTCAATGGGCGACAGGCGGGGTACACCCTGGATGGTCTGACAATCCATGGTCAGTACTGGTATATTCACACTTTATTACTGTAATATCACTCCTCTGTGTGTCTATGTATCACTTGAAACTCATGAAGTTACTTCAAAGAGTATTTAGTCTCCTCAAAGAAAATTAATTCTCCTTCAGATCCACCGCGCAAAGTATTCAAACATGAAGAGTCCTGATACATTCTGAGGATTCAGAAACTTTCTGTTCAGTATGCTTTACGGTTCTTTATTACTTACTTTCGGCTTCTCAGGGTTGCAAACCTTCACCCACAGAATGTGATCCAACAACCAATCAACAGGTTTGTCGTTGTGAAACATCAGGAAGAACTGAGCAACCAATGGAAGGTCGTGGGCATGAAACATCTTGCCTGTTGAAAACATGCACACACACACACACACACATACTCCTTACTACCGGAGGACTGACATCAAAAACAAGACTGGAATCAATGACTGAACTGACATCCATGATACTTTAACACACCTATAAATCCAAGCTGGGAGAATTCCAGATAGAGCCATTGCTTTGTAGTGTTCTGGGTGGCAAATGACTTCATGTCACTATAGTAGCCGTCTTTTGCTATGATGTCATCTTCTAACTGAAAAATATATAGATCAAAACACAGTTTAAGTTTGGAATGTGGCATATCGAGCTCAGTGGGCTGTGTGCGAGCATGAGCTCCCAGACCAGATAGTGTGTCTCCTCTTAAATCTGCTAACTTACTGAGCTTACTGAGTGCACTTTGAACTACTATTAATCCATTTCCTTATTTACATTTATGGAGACAAATATTGGTGTGGGAGGTGCTTTTGTTCATGTAGGAAAAACATGCAAATACCTTACAATCTTTCTTTAAAGGAAATTTTTTCTGAACACATTTGTGGAGATCCTCATCTCATCTTTGCTGCTCAGGGACTCAATGTTTTTTTAAGCTACTACTATAATATCAGGCAAGCCTGCACTGACCCCTACCTGAACATAGAAAGTCCCTCTGTTATGAGCGTAGAGCATGAGAAAGCTGAAGTCCATACTCTGCTTTGAACGCCATCTGAAAACACAGGAAGAGCATTGTTACACCCCATCTCTGTGACCGAGACCTCTTACCCAGGTCTTTATTTACAAGACTTGCAGTTTGAAAATTTCTATACGTACCTTACTCTGGTCTTGGAGTCTCCCAATGTCTCTTCGAGGTTGTTGAAGTCAGGGTAGTAATTCTGTGAAGGGGAGACCACCTCCAGTAGGCCAGACTCCACCTCTGTTGTAAAACTAAATTAGAAAGAGCTAGTTAACAATCAAATTAAAAAACTGTTTTTACAATCCTATTCTAGTAGTCAATGGACGAGAGGCGGTTTACACCTTGGACGGTCTGCCAGTCCATGACAGGGACACACAAGGACCAACAACCACACACACTCACATTCACTCCTAAGGGCAGTTCGGAATGTTCAAACATAACATGCATGTTTTTGGACGGTGGGAGGAAGCCGGAGAACCCGGAGAGAACCCACACAGACACAGGAGAACATGCAGACTCCAACAGAAACGTTCCCCTTGGGACTGGAACCCAGAACCTTCTTGCTGTGAGGCGAACATCTGCAATCACTCACTTTTTCAGGATGGTCTGCGCTACACTCTTCACGTAGTCGGAGTCTGTCTGAAACGTCAGACACACATAACGAGATCAGTTCTATTGATTTAAGAACATTTAAAGAGCAACCGTCAGAGATTTTCCACCAAAACAGAACAGAGCTGGAGGTGAAGCGGGTTTATTCTGTTGATATAATAACATGTTATTAGAAACCAAAGGGGGTCCGGAACCAAATGTCTGGAAACCACTGACTTCCAACATGGGCAACATGGATGGGCTAAATTTGACTACAGAGTATAAGAACAGTAATCTTAAGTAAGTGCAACCTCGGCGACAAAGATGACGATGAGGATGTCCCTGCGTTGTGAAGTGGTGAGGCTGGACAGCAGAGAGCTGACCGTGTTGGTGAGGTAACTCTGCTGCTCGCGTTTCACCGTCGGAATTCCTAACACAATAGACACTGACGCAGACAAGACGGACAGAAGAATATGTTAGAAGAATTGAGGAGTGAGGCTCTATCGTGTTGCATTAACAGTTCTTGACAAAAACGTCCCGAACGTCCAGATCCTGTGAAATACTGTGTGGGTGTATCTATACTCTGTACCTCCACGGCGTCCCTTTCCCAGCACGACATTAGGCACAAGGCTGTCTGGATGCTGTTTAAGGTGGGGCAAGAGGAGGTCAATCCCAAGTTTAAAGAGGGCCTCTCCTGCTATCGACAGAACAGAGGTATAAGACAGCAAACCACATTAATATTTGCTTTACACACACACACGTATATATACATACAGTAGAACCTCTACATACGAATTTAATTCACTCCGGGACCTACTTCGTATGTTACAATATTCGTATGTTGGTTCAAATATTCCCATAAGAATACTCTGTAATTCGTATAATTCGTTCCACAGCCCAAAAACCTACGATAACTCCTTAATAAATACAGCAGACAATTACACATAGCAATAAAACAAATGCACTATATAAGAAATATGTAAAAAATAAATGAATTATACTGAATAAGAATTTGTTAAATGTGTTTTTCATGATAAGTGATAAGGAAATCCAGCATTCACCTGTGGAGCTGGTGCTAGTATGGTTGGTTGTGGAGTTACTGATGAGATTGGTGACGTTGGCAACTTTGGACATGTTTGCCAGCCTTTCCATGACATTGCTGATATTACTGATAAGCTGTCCCTCCAACTCCTTCACAACCAGCAGTCTCTCAAACAGCATCTGGAGGTCACAGTCCGTCAATGCTGGAATATTAACATATTTGTGTTAATATCTGATAAGAAGTGATCTTGAAGTGATCTTTCTTTCCTACTTTAAGGAATGATGTTAACAGATGTGGGCCAATTTTTTATTTATTATTAATGTCACAATGTAAATGATGGAAAGGCCTTTAGCATATATATCATTACTTCAGATGTTCACTAAACTAAGGACAAGGTGAGTTCCAGAACTAGGGTCCTTGAGAAGGGCTGGACCCTCTGCCACTCTGTTGTAGGAATACAAGTGTTTCGGGCCTTGTTCACGAGTGAGGGGAAGACTAGAGCGCGAGATCGACGGTCTGCAGACTCTGCATCATGGAGTCATGGTGAAGAAGGAGCCGAGCCAATAGGCAAAGGCTTGGAAACGCCTTGGGATCCTCCTGGGTGAGCTGGTAAATGTGGCTGGTAAATGAGATGGAGGTCCGAGCTTCCCTACTTCAGCTGCTCCCCCCGTGACCTGGCCCCGGATGAGGGGAAGAAGATGGTTGGATGGATGGATGGATGGATGGATGGATGGATACAGTACATGGATGGATTGATGATGGATGGATAAATGGATGGACGGATGATGAATGGATGGATGAATGGATGATGGCTGGATAGATGATGGATGATGATGGATGGATGGAAGAAGAAGCTGAACTGGATAAGTGGTGTCTGAAAAATGTATACCCATCTATATGCTCAGTTTCCTGGTAATTTTCCTCCTACTGTTAAATTGAAAGACGGTAGGAGGAAGCCAGAGAACCCGGGGAAAACCCTAGCAGACACAGGGAGAACATGCAGACTCCACCCAGAAAGTTCCTGGTTCCCCCAGGGGATTCAAACCCAGAACCTTCTTGCTGTGAGGCGATGGTGCTAACCACAACACCACCTCCCTCTTTCATACATTTACTTTTTTAGAATCAAACTCTACAACATTGTAGACAGCTAGCAGGGATTATTTTGGTGACTGGTTGCTTGTAACCAAATGGTAGGCTTTTCTCGTTTAATTTTAAGGCATTTCTCTGTTTTATTCATTTTTTGTTTGTTTTGCCTCATTATTGCATGTGATCATACGGATTACACATGCTGATTACTTTCTTCTGTGTATGCAGTACCAATGGGTTTGATGAGGAAAATTAGTCTGAAATTCCTTAAGGAGGAAGTGAAAGACTCGGAACTAATAGAGAATATGTTTAGCTGCTGTTACAGAAGCACAACCTTGTTCTCACCAGAGCCTGAAAAACAAGACCTTTGCAATTTAAACCTCTCACGAACACACAATACTAACTCAGTCATAAGAATGAAGTCATATTTGAACCGGTTTGCCGTATGGTGTGTAAGACATTTTTGTAGATCCACATAGCAGAAAATTCCATTGAATCTTCTGAACATCAAACACACACTCTCAGATGGCTTACTCTTGCATTTATTTCAATTTAAGGCCAATATTTTTTTATTCCAAGTGTTCAAATGTAACAATCTCTGTAATTTGACTGATGCTTTAACTGTTTCCATTCCTTGTTTTGCTCCCCAATACTGGTTCATCCAAAGTATAAGGAATAAATGTAGCTTGTGGTGAAAAATGACATCTACCAATTATCATTTGCAACGGTGATTTTTCACACTGAATATTCAGTGAGATTTTAAAAAACTGTTGTATTCCAAATATCATCTTGTGAACCCATGTTAAGATGGAAGCTTCAATTTGAACTTCTTCCTCTGTGACTAATCTTAATCTGCCAAGGAGCTTTCTGAGTGCTCTTATTTTGTGGCAGCATGAGCCAAAGACACATGGTTGGAAATATCAAGAATTGTTTCAGGTCATTTTGCTGTTGGGGACATATTTAAGGTTCGGTGACCTGGCTACAAATATACGCAGAAAAAAACATAAACTGAAACAGTTATGAGTATGAACAACCATCAAGAAGGTCACATATGAGGCACGTTCAAAAATCAGGTGTCACAGTTGTAGCTGAGGGCCGGAGCACCCAGACCACGCCCAGAAATTTAGAAGAATGAACGATTTAGAAGAACTAAGGTTTCTTAGAAAAATGTAACAAAATGGCCCGGCAGTGACAGATAAAAAAGTTACACTAAACCTCAGCAAAAAAAAACACAGACCAGGATTCTAAGAACAACAACAAAAACACAAGAACCAAGAAAAAACCTGATAAGGGAGGATACTGGAGGAAAAGATACGGGAATACAGATGACTGCATAGAGTAAGGTACAGGCAGGGAAGGGATGTGGCGCATTCGAGGATCTGACAGGGAAGAGGTGGAGCCTATCCAGGCTTGCAGTGGATAGCAGGTTGCAGGTTCATCGCAGGGCCACAAGTACACAACAACGACACACACTTACTTTCACTCCCGGGGGCAATTTAGAGTGTTGTAATAATGTTAATGTTGTCAGAGGAAGTTGGAGAACCTGGAGGGAACCCACACAGACATGGAGAGAACATGCAAACACCACCCAGAAACACCCCTGGTCCTCAAAGTACCAAATACAACATTTAACTTATACATGTTTGATTATATGACTATATGTCTAGATTTCATAACAATTGAAAATATGACATCACCCCACTATTTCCCTACCTGTCACCATGTAATAACTCATTTTCAATCTCTCTCAAACTCTGACAAACTTCATTATCAATCTATCTTTGTAATGTCTCCATCTGCTATGTCTGTGGCCTGTTCTGGTGTGCCATTTATTCAAATCTGGAACTAAGGAACGGGAAGCAATAAAAAGGAGAATTAACCTAACCTGGACACAGGCACAAACAAAGATCACGTAAGAAACCAAACCAAAAGGATAACCACGTTCTGGGAGAAAAAGGCCTAAAACAAAAGTTATCTGCCCAACGTTTAGCTAATAAAAGGTAAAATGGACTAAAAGATAAAAAGCCAATTTAGACTCAAAGTTGAATTGAACAAATCACAAATCAGATTTAGACGCATGAAACATCATGTTTTACAATTGCTTCTTTAGACTTTAAACTTGGGTGACTGCTGGATGGTGGTTTTGGAGCAAACTAGAAAGCAGCAGAGATTTCACTCACCATCATCACTGGGGATGGATTTAATCCAAACGAACGACGCAAACCATACAAAAGTCAGCACACACGCCAATCTTAAGGGGGAAACCCTCATTTCAGTTTCCCGGAGGAGCCTGCTCCTCTCTCTATTCCGCTCCGCGAAAGACTGCAGATCTGTGCAGGTGAGTGAGTGAGTGGATGAAGTGAAAGTCCCCGGCGCGTACTTTAGGAACGCCTGGCGCGCTCCTGGGTCCCGCAGGTGTAAAGCACCTGTCGCGGACATGCGCAGTGGGCCACCAGCGACATCCGCTGGTGGCAGCAGACGAGGCCGGTCTGTCCCACAGGGGGATAACACGCACAGCACAGCGACGTACTCATTACAATCTGACTTAGGACTTTTGTCTGACTTTATCTAGACATATCTGTACAGTTTTGCCAAAATTGTTATCTAGAAACGTATAAATCTTAATATCTCTTCGGTGTTGTTTGTGTAGGGGATGTAGCTCAGTGGTAGAGCGCATGCTTTGCATGTATGAGGCCCCGGGTTCAATCCCCGGCATCTCCACAGGTTTCTTTTCCTGACCAGACCACATTTTTGTGCGCTCAGACGCATCTACCGCAACAGGACAACACGCGATCACGCAGCTCCTCTTTTCAGTCACTACCGCGTGTAAATACGATAAAATAAATAAATAAATTTCCAAATAAACCTAAGCGACCGTCGTAGGGGGGGCACTGATCGCGCACCGCATAAAGCAGGTTTTCTTTTTTTCATCCGTTCAAAAACATTTTTTTACAAAAAAAAAAACAGTCAACAAATAAATAGACAGATTTAGGTGAAAAAATGAACTTGAAGTGAGGCTGTTTGAGTTTGAAATGTTTCCCAAAGGAAGTAAATTAGATTACATATTTGATATGGATCAGATTAAACCTCTGATAAGACTTTAAATTCCGTTTCCTCTTATTTTTGGCTTTTGTTTTGCCTGATCGAGAGGGAGCGAAACCAGAGAACGAATAGGAAATAAGGCGATACTACTGAGACGGGATCATTTTCAGACATTAAAATGATGTTGAGTGATGTAGAGCATTGCTGATCAATGGCATCCGTTCTATGGGATGTAGAACACAGGAGGATGAGGCAAGGGCCCTAATTGGACTAACATCAATTGGGTCAAAGTATTAGTACTATAAGTGCTTTATTAAGTTTCTGTCAAAAGGGTATTAGATCATACACTACTCATGATTAAGCCACCTCATCTCTGATGTACACATTAGCAATCATCATGTTTCATCAATGTTCACTTTGTTGGACTGGATAATAAACCCCTGCCCCCCCCCCACCCCCCCACCACCACCCAGTATCTCCATAGTGCTTAAACCATAGAAGCAAATAGAGGCAATATGCAAACCAGAAAGAGCTTTTCGGTTGCAAGGACTTACACTGACCACACAGATCCAGACACACAACAGACAACACACAGCTCTATTCATGCGCTGGCCTGAGTCCCCCACCCATGGGGGGTACTCCACCCCCCCCCCCCCATTGATCCACGGTGACCTCCCTGCCACCGCATTCATGAGGAAGCAGCCTGTTGTCACAGTGATGGAGGAAGTGTCTCATCTAAAATTACTCCAAAAAACATGCTTTTCAAAGAGAGGCTGGGTAAAAGGGTCCAGGTGCGGGGGCCGAGGGGGGGGGGGGGGGGCTTCTGGGGTCGTCCTCTGAAGCAGCTCCCTCTGGATTCCCCCAGGTGCAGTTCAGCGGGTGACCCTGTGGGACCGTTTGATGTTCATTTGACAAATATCACAACCAACTACACAAAATGTAACAGGAAAATGAGATGAAACGGAATTTACTGTCTTATCAGAGGTACAATCAGATCCATATACAAATGTAAAAGGAATACGGCACATTTGCCTGAAACGTGAAAGGTGGATGTCAGTGAAATAGGACATCTTTGATAATAAAGTGAACTTTGAAGTTTGTACTTTATTCTCATGGATGTCCATTACTGCAAATTGAATGAGTGCATTGCATCCTACAAATGAAAGCTCATATACAGTAATCCTTTTTTCTTTTCAATCCCCACTGCCCAGATCGGATGTTGGATTAAATTTGGCTACATATGTAACCGTAATCGGTATGACGGCTCCTTTTTTTTTTTTTATAACACTCGTATTTCTTGGCTGAACATCAGGCATTGCAAGAATAATAACAAACATTCATACACTGACATCAAACTCTAGGAAAACACACAACTCATGTTTTTCAAGATCAGGACACACAAGGCAAAAGAAGGGACCAGTGCTGGCTGAAATATTAGCGGGATCAGTAGCACAAACAGTGGTATATCCAACTCCAACCTTTAAGCACTCTCATCTAGCTTTTTGCTAAGTTGGACAGGGGGGAGTGAAGGTTGATTTATTGTGGTGTGCTGAGAATAGGCTCCCAATAAAAGGAGGAGGTTTCCTCTGTGCCGTTAAAATGTCTGGAGCAGCCATCAGTAACTGGATCTGCCTCTCTGTCTCAGAAACACAGCAGAAGAATGAGGTTTTCTAGTTAAAAAGGGCACTCAGATCTGTGTGGGTTCCAATTATCAGCCGCTTGGAGAGGAACATATAATGAACATAGTGATTCCAGTGGGAGTCAAACTGGTATTGATGGTAGGGAGCTAATCTGAGCCGATGCGTTTCACTGGGAGAACTGGTCGTGTTTTAGCTTTAGTGGGTGTCCAGAGCGGGTGGTGGACGGGAGGGAGGATTCCAACAGATGGCTCTGCAGGAAGGAGCACGAAGAAGAGGAAACAACAAAGATGACTCTTTTCCCGACTGGTTTTTGTTTGGTTTTAATCCTCGTGTTAAGAGGATTGGCTGCCAAATGTTGATGCCATCGTGAGAGATGATACACATGGACATGCAGATGTTACAAACACACACACACACACGCGCGCACACACACACACACACAGTCTGAGCTTTTTTTCTTTGCTGTATAACTCACTAATCCTGCCCAGCTCAAATGGAGGACTGTAGATTAAGAGAGTGCTCTGTCTTGACTAATTTTCCTGTAAATTTCCTGTACATCTTTTATGTTAGATTTGCGTTTTATTTTTTGACTGAGTTGGAGAGTAAAAAAAACTCCTATTGGCACAATTATTCAAAAGATGGGATTTTTTTTTCTTTTTCTGCAGACATATGAGCCTGCGTTTGACAAGATGGTGTGACAGTGGGTGGAGTGGACGGTGGGGGGCGGGGGAGGAGGTCCAGGCTTTGAGGAAAGAAGCTGGAGAGGAGAAAGGAGCCATCTGTGCGCGGTGGCAGATCCAGAGAGAGTCAGACCGGGGTCAGACGAGCGGCGGGAAGGTAAGCACCACAACTCTCCATCTCTCACCGGCTCTGGTTGGGCTTGTTTGGACTTTTTCTGATGTGTGAATTTGATTGGCCACAGTAGAGAGGATGACCACCCCGTCGGGTCAGATAAACTCAGAGTTACCGTTTTCCTGTTATGTGCATAATTAAGGTTAAACTCTATCAAACAAAGAGTCTAAAGAAAGTTTCCTCTTCTTCAAGAATCCAATACAAGTCAGATTGGGATAGCGTTTGACTTTAGTTTCTAAAGTTTTAAAGAGAAAAAACAGTTTCACTCTGCTAAGCTGTAGAGACCAATCACAATCCTGGGTGCTTGATATTCTCCTGAGCCTAAAGAATCGTATATTTTGCATCTGCAAACCAGGATAAAGTCAAAGTTCGAGGGAAAGACATTATCTGGTTCAAAAGTGAGATGTAGGATGTCGACTTGCTGCTGTTGCCTGGACCTAAAGATGGATTTTCATAAATTAATACAGCTTTGAGTGCTCAATTTATTCTGTTTATCTGTTTATTGTGTTTGTGTTCCCGGCATCTGGGGTGACATTGTTTTTTATGAAGTCGCACAGACATTTCTCGACAGTTAATCATGCGTTTTCTGTGTCTCACTGTTGCCCTCCTGTCTCTTTTCTGCTTCGATCTCATTACCCTAACACAACATTTGCCCTTCATTCATGCCCCCCCCCCTCCCCGGTTGTAACTGAAACGGTGTCCCCTTCTAACTTAATTAAGTGAGACGTGTTTCTGACTGACACGGGCACGTGCACTTTCATTTAGCGGTGTCCTGTAGAACCATCAGCCCCCCCCCCCCCCTTTGTCTTATGGTAAGGCCCCTCCTTCCCCTGATTGTGTCTGCTGGATTGGGCCTCATGGAGATGCGTTTCCCGTCAGCCTCCTTAAATAATTATCAATCATTTTCTTTCCTCGTGCCCTTAAGAGAAAATTTTAGTATTTCTATTTCACAGTATTTGAAGAGATGAAAGAAATGGTATCTATATAAGACCACATTGTGTGATAAGTTGTTGTTGCCCGAGCGTTTCTTATTCCACTTCCTGTCCCAATCCGAGTCTGCATTTGGTTCACAAATGTTCTGTTTTTCAGAACCTGAAAAGGCAAAGGCAAATCTTCGGCCAAATATCAGTTTGTGTTCTAGGATAAATGGTAAGGAAAGATCCAGATGAGAGCAAAGGCCGCAGCGCCGAACTCTAATCTGAGGATTAAACGCTCACAGAAAGCAAAAATCAAAGTCTGTAAGAAGAGAAATGCTACAGAGAGCGATGTCTGGAGATCAGATAAAGGGACGCACACACAGCTCTGGAGAAGGGCTCAAAAACGACAGCAGCTCGCAGATCAGCAAGCAACAGGAAACCCCAAAATGCCACCAGAGTTTATGAGATTCACTGACTATCTAAGGTCCATTCTCCATTCACTTACTATGAATGATCATCATTAATAGTTTGAATTTGCCTACTTTTTAGGGGTTGTATTTAGCTTTTAATGATTTGAGCTTGAGTTTTTTCTCTCTTTTGGGAGTAAGAATTATAAAAGACTTTAAATAGATTTCAAGCTTAACTGATATGGTGTCATATTACAACAAATATCAATATTCTCCTGGTGAGGGGCTTTCTCTCTATGTTATCAGATTTGCTTTGCAGACTAATTGAGCCTATTGTAAATAAGGAGAACACAATTTTTGGGTGTTGCTGGGTTTTGAAGTTCAGAGGGGATGCAGGACATGGAATTTATTTCCTAAATCCAGTGGCGGACCATGCATTTCACACCTAAGCCTTCAGTAGTGCTCGTTCTGAATCAATTAACCCCTCAATAACTATTTTATGGTTATAGAAATTATCTTATTATATAGAAATACAGTAGGGATGTCCCGATCCAGCTTTTTGTATTAAAGTTGAAAGTTATTTATCTACTTACTTAGTTGTCCAAAAATCCTACATGAGGAATAGTACACAGCATATTCTTTTAAAACCACTGTTTTACGATAAAAATAAACATCAGATCCACATAAATAATGAGTCACGTAACAGAATATGAAGCTTTGTCTTTGTTACAAGAAGCAGGTTTATTGAATACTTGTGAAAAACAACTTGCAGAACGTTTCTTTAATTGACAATTTCTGATAAATGCATTACATCAGTTTTTATGAGAGATCTGCCAGGGTTCAATCCAAAACGTTATTAAAAACACAATGCAGGAGAAAAAAGACTCAGAGACGTTACTCTTTAGACTTGCAAGGAGAGCCGCGGAGCCTTTACAATCTCCACCATACTCTGACCAGACTCCGCGGCCTCCTCTCTTTTTATTAAGGAATGTTCCCTACGTTACATGGGCGTGCAGCCTCTAAGGGAGGGGATCCCACAGGCTGCACGCAGGTGTAGCTTAATGTTACATTATATCCAACATTAGATCCAAGCTCCTTAACATGGTACAGTCAGGCACTTCAACAGTTGAGAATTGAGGATCCCACACAATGAAAGTTCATAATGTTCTGATTGAGAGTACATAATGTTCTGATAATAAGAGGTTTAAAATTATAGATACGAAAAGAACATGGAGTACAGGCGCCCTCCATTTTATATGGTAACCTATGTACAGTGATTCCAACAAGATCCTCATCGAACAACGAGCACGAAAAAGATGGCAGACCAATCACCTCACGTCAAACACCAACAATCAATATTAAGGAGGAAATGCATTTTATAAAATCAAATAAAACTATCAATCTATACATTTGGTTAATATGAATTCCCAAAACTGTTACAAGAACTTCCTAAATGAATCTGTGATGGAGGATGGAGGTTTTCTTCTCGGAGTTACATGTAATTCTTTTTTCCCCTAAAGTTTCCTCCAGTATTTCAAAACACATTAAAAGACACATGTAAAGTCCTTCTGGTAAAAGTGGACACACCCAGAAAATAACCTCAAACCAAACGGACTCTTCCAGCCTCGAAAAGGGTTAAAAAGCAAATAGAAATGTGAAAGAAACAGAAATGAAGAGCAGTGAACTCTGAGCAGCAGTTTGAGAGGAGAGTTCACTTGAGCTCACACAACTCTGCTGAGCATCCAGAATAAACACAGATTCCAGCATAGAGAGGCTGAGTGAAAGTGGTCTGGACTCTGTGGAGGAGAGTGCTGGTCCCAGAGACGCTATAGAAGGACAGAATACCTGCTCTGGGACCCAGGTACACTCCTACTCTGAAGGAAAGAGGAGCTGAGAGGGAGGTTTCTATGCTGTTGGAGCTAAATTTACAAGCCTTATCATCATAATATAATGACCAAGATTTGTCATTCCATCCTAATTGAGATCCATGTCCTTCTCTGCTGATATTCTTGTATGTGACTGCTACACCAACTCCGTCCCACCTTCTCCTCTCCACCTCCCAGTAACAACGTCCAGTCAGAATCTCTCTGCTCAGGACCTGAGACCAGTCAGTGAATCGGTCTGGATGATCAGGATAAGACTGTTGACCCGTCCATTTCACCTTCCTGTTCCCCTTTGACAGTAACAGGACTCTGTGTGTGCTGTGTTTGGATCCAGTGTGATTTTACGTGACCATCTTAAGAAGTCGGCTCTGCTCTCTGGTTCTGGTGTCAGTAGAACATCCGGCTGAGCGGCCGCCAGTGAGACTTTAGTCCAGTCCTGTGTCAGGATGCGCTGCAGTTTGTCTGTGAGCTCTGACACGGCTGCTGTCACGTCCTCAAAGTATCTCAGAGGAGGCGCCCCGATGCCGGGTGAGTGTGTGGACTCCCCGAGTGCTGGCAGTGAGGGGCAGCTGGTCAGAAACTGGACGTGGTCCTCTGTGTGTGAGAGATGCTGCAGCTCAGTGGTCTCCTGCTCCAGCTTCTGCTGAAGCTCTTTGACTCCCCTCACTGCGGTTTGCTGCTGGGATCTGACCTGCTGCTTTCCTGATGAGACGGATCAGCTCAGTGAACATCTTCTCACTGTCCGCCACTGTTTTGTCAGCAGACTGATCGATGGCCTCCACCTCCTGCTGGAGCAGATCCACTTCTTTTTGTTTGTCCTGGATTCTCTGCTGGATTTGTTGCCGCCTCCCCTCCAGCTCTCTCTGCCTCTCAGTCCTTTCTGCTGCCGCTGACACTGTGTGGTGGCCTTTATGCTCATCCATCGCACAGACAACACAGATGGACTTCTGATCGGTGCGGCAGAACAGCTTCTTCACCTCATCGTGGACAGAGCAGATGTTCTCCTGGAGCTTCTTGGAGGGCTCCACCAGCTTGTGTTTCTTAAATGGAGGTGAATCATAATGAGGCTGAAGGTGTTCCTCACAGTAAGAGGCCACACAGACCAAACAGGACTTGCTGGCTCTCAGTTTTCTCCCAGAGCAGAAATCACAGGCCACATCTTCAGGTCCAACATAGCAGTGGTCAGCAGGAGCAGCTCGGAGTCCAGTCTTCTTCAGCTGCTCCACTAAAGCTGCTAACATGGTGTTTCTTACCAGGACAGGCCTCGGTGTGAAGCGTTCCCTGCATTGAGGGCAGCTGTGAAGTCCCTTCTGATCCTCCACATCAAAGTGGGCTTTAATACAGCTCATGCAGTAGTTGTGTCCACAGGGAATAGTCACCGGATCCTTCAGGACCTCCAGGCAGATGGAGCAGGAGAAGGTTTCTGCGTCCATCTGAACTACTCTCTGAGCCATTTCTGCTCTCGGTAACAGCGACCAAACTTCTCTGAGCTCTGAGCTGGGAATCCCGTGTCTGCACAGAGACCAGAGCCAATCAGCTGCCAGCCTGTCGGCTGCCCCCGCCTCCAGCTGCAGGGGGGGGGGGGGGGGGGGGGGGATCAAACTTTGGTCTCCAGGTTTCAGTCCACAGAAGAGCAGCAGAGTTTTCAGCCATGACGGGGCATCTGTTACCTCTCCGGGTTTTCGTTGGTCAAGTATGGGGTGACCAAACTTCCTGTTCTGTCTGGACATGTCCACTTTTTTAAGCCTTTCCGGGGCGACTCACAAACACACACACACACACACACACTCACACACACACACACACACACACAACCACACACACACACACACACACTCACACACACACACTAGTACACAGGAGACAAAATGCTGAAACTTAAGTGCAGCTTCACAGACGAACTGCAACAAAAATGTCCCAACAAGTGGAACAAAAAGGATCTAAACTTAGTTTATAGACACAAAAAGGATCTAAACTTAGTTTATAGATACAAAAAGGATCTAAACTTAGTTTATAGAAAAAAGGAAGCTGACAGACTATTTAGATATATTTAATAAGTCTCCATGGACAAAATATAATTAACATCAGTCTGTGATTCTGATATTTTCTTAGGCCTGCAGAGAAGGCCTTGAAGGCCCTGACGGCCCACCACTGCCTAAATCTGGTTACAGCATTCTCTCACAGACACCTACAGTAAACACATTCACTCCCAGTTGTCAGCTGGGAGAGGCTCCAGCCCCCCATAGCCCTGCTGGGAGGAAGCGGTGTGGAAAATGGATGGATTGATGGATTGATGGGAAATTAATATTTGGACTGCCATTTTCATCATCTGCTTGAATGTACGTCATTTCAACGACTTTATCTGTACTCAGCGCTGATTGACATGAAAATCCGAGAATTCAGATCTACATTCAAAATAAGGACAACAAAAGGTGCTGGATGAAAATAATATATATATAATATGTATATAAATAATAATTTAAATAATATAATAGTATATTATAAATAATTTACATCTGGGATTATTAAAGTATTTCAGATTCTGATTCTGATATATGCTGTATATATTGTTGATAATAGAATAAAATAGAATAGTTTATTGATCCCACAGTGGGGAATTTTACACATTACAGCAGAAAAAAGGGAAAAAGCACAGTGGAGGAATAAACAAATAAATAGATAAATAAATAAATGAATAAATAAATACAAAATAATTAGAAAATAAATAAAATAAATAAATAAATAAAATGTTATTTACAATGCAACAAAATAGATAAAGGTAAATTATAAGTAAGAGTTATTGAAAGATAATGAGATTTTAAAATGATACCAGATGATAAAAATATTAACCCAAACTGCTGTTTTCGCTTTAGGGATGGAACATCAGCCAACACTGCAGACATGGGTTTCCATGAACACAGAGCTTTAAAACTTACGTCCCAAAAATACGCGGCCATGATGAAGATGTGGATCGTCTTCACCTGCCTGAGCAAAGGATGGATACAGACGGCCTCGGTGCCCGCTGTGACGCCCACTCCACCCACTCCACCCACTCCACCCACTCCACCCACTCCGCCCACTGAGCCTGTGACACCCACTGAGCCTGTGACACCCACCGAAGATGAGAGTGCCCAATTGGTGGTAATGAACTGATTCAGTTGTGTTGTTGGTGTTTTGTCATGTCTTGGTCTTGCAATTTCCTGTTTTATTTTGATAAGTAACTCTCTTCCTATTTAGGTCACTTGCACTTCCCTGTGTGTCACCTGTCTGACTGTCTTCGATTGTGTTCACCTGGGGTTCCCTTCCCTTTTCGAGTTTAAATAGTCTGTGTCCCCCTTGTCCGGGACCAGTGTGTGCTGTCAGGATGAGGCTCAAGGCCAGACTCAGACCCAGAGCTTGGCAGATACAGGTCTTTATGTTAACAAAAATCACAGTCTCTCAGAGTGGAAGCAAAACGTGGACAAAAAACTATGAAAACTATGAAAATGCAAAATAATAATTGCTCTTACAAGGGCAGAACAGATATGAAAGTGCAAAATAATAACCACTCTATCGATGAATATGTGGGGAATCAATACTAGGAATTTCAATGGCACGGTAAAGCTCAGAATTGATGGACAATAGGACAAACATTATGAAACACACTGGCACCAGAGAAGGTGGATACAGGCTATTTAAACACAAAAAGGGAAAGGAACCCCGGGGGAAAACAATCGACAATCAGACAGGTTACAAAAGGAAATGACAAGACCAAGACCTGACAAAACACCCAAATAAACACCAAAAAAAACCCAGGCGTGACACTTTTTTTAAAGTAATTAACAGAAGGCTTGATTTGTGGAGACGGTGTTTCCACTTTGTTGAGATAACGTCCTTAAACACAGTTCAGTCTTGAACAGTAAAGGCGTTGCTTGTGGAGTGTCTGGATTAGGTTCACTTTTTCAGATAACTTCTAATAATCAAATTCTGATCAAATTCTGCCAAATTCCCTTGTAAAACTGGGTCTCCCCCATCATCAGATATCAAGTTGCAGAACAAATGGTAGCGCATAATGCTATGAGCTTTCAAGGGAAAGACCTTTGGAAGCTATTCTATATCAGAGAGCACACGTCAACTTTGCTTTTCTTTCCTTCTGTTTGAATTGTCTAAACTAAATGTCCAAAGTGCCCAACTGAAAAAACAAAGCAAACATCTTCAGATGACTGTCACTTTTTCATAGGACTGGTTGACAAAATACGGCTACCTGCCACCTCCAGAGCCCTCCACTGGTCAGCTCCAGGCTTGGACAGCGGTCACAAACGCCATCAGGGCCATGCAAAGGTTTGCCGGTCTCAGAGAGACCGGAGTTGTAGGTGAAGGCACCGGGTCACACGTTGATTTTTTTAGACTCCCTCTCCGATTAGACCATCCAGATGTGACTGTGTTTTCTTCTGTTTCCAAATGTTCAGATGAGGACACGCTGGCCTTGATGAAAAGTCCACGCTGCTCCATTCCTGACAAAGAGGAACCATCCAAATTACTGGCCAACCAAGATGGGAAAAAGATGAGGAGAAAGAAGAGGGATCTATCTCTGTGGACAAGCAGGAACATTAACTGGAGGTTGGATTGCATTTGCTCATAATGGTCCCTGGATCATGGTCTCATCTTACCACTTCATAATGTCATCAGTGCATATTATTTGTGATACATATAAAATATTAGATACCATCTGTCTGTGCAATCTGCTCCGGTTTAAAGTGATCAGAGCGTTTTCCAATGGGAAGTCAGAGACTAAGGACTTTGGGGGAGAGAAAGCAGTCACCTTGGTCGAGGTGGCTCAAGATTCCAGCTAAAAAAGTGGGAATGATGGATAAAATTCTGGAGTTTGTGGGTCTGCCATCGCAGACAAGGCTCCTCAGAGTTGTATGGACAGTGGATGGTTCACAGAGGGTCCCATTACTGAAGAAAATTCTGTTTTTGCTTAATAACAACTCGTAACAATTAATTTCCCCTCATCCACACAAACACTTTGTGCCTTTGTTAGACTGAATTCTTATCCCTCCGCATCTCATCTATCCCGGGAGATGATTCGCTCTCTTGTCTTCTATGCTCTACGAGTGTGGGCAGAGCCTACGCCCCTGGAGTTCCACGAGGTTTGTACATTTGTCTGCTACATAAAGGCATAAGTAAAAGATACTCAACAGCGACTGTAAAACGAGCATTTCTCTTAGCTCTATGGTTGTTCTGTGCCCCGCTTTCAGGTGGCCAGCTGGGAGGCAGCTGACCTGCAGGTAGACTTCCTCCGCGGTTACCACGGTGACGAGTATCCCTTTGACGGGGCCGGGGGTGCAGTTGGACACGCTTTTTTCCCTTCAGACCCCGCCCGGGCGGGAGGAGTACATCTGGATGCAGATGAGGAGTGGGCCTTCAGACAGCCAGGTGGGGAAACAACAAGAAATAGTGTGAACGCTTTTGATGGGGTCAGGTGAACACTGGCGGTGTGTCCTTATATTATTATTAACTCTGTGAAGCCTGCCATCGATTTTTTTTCCAGATTTCTTTCTTTAAATATGATTATTGGGTGCAAACACCAATATCTCTGCAAAGGGATATTCTATGTACATGAGTACTGTATCATTTTGAGATCATGTTTGATAGCTAAAGCTAATAATGTAATCCTAGAAGCTGGATTAAAGGTAACTGTGCTTATTCTGGTGGTCGTTAGCAACCTCCATTGGGAATATTGTGGCCCAGTAGCATCACCTACTGTACTGGCCACAAAATTGCAGCCTAACAAAAATTGTCTTGGTGCCAAAGCCTAAAACTCACTAACATTATCAAAGTCCTGCTAAGATTTGTTCATAATACTTTAAACTTTGTCAGTCCTGTCACTAACTGTGTAGGATTGAAAATGATAGAAAGCTTGGCGTGTCTGTGAGTATTTTTTAAGATGGAAAAAGACAATTACCAGCACACAGATCACATTCAATCACCCCCAAATTTCCTATTTATTACTACACTCATATTCTGAACACATCAATGTGTTTTCTTCATGGCTTAGCTACATCCATTGCAACACCAATCTTCATGTTTTATGAGGACTTGTTTCTTAGAGCACCAACATCAAACCTGAAGTCAGAACATACTGTACATACAAATGGTTGTTGTTGTTGTTGGTTTGCAGTTTATATTTTCACAAGCTGCAAGGTGAATTTGGGTATCATTCCATTAGAATGACTCCAACGTGAATAATTAATATTTCATCCAAAGACCAACCGAGTTAGAAGACTGAATCACTATTTCCAGTGTAACCTATATATCTGCACTCACTTCTCGTCATTAGAAGAGTTATTTGGTCATCCACTGGAAACAGAAAACACACTAATGCTACACCTGGAAGAAGAAGTCAGTGAGACGTTGCACATTTCAAGCTTTACGCGCCTGACCTCCGTTCCTGTTTTCATCTTTCACTTCTTCATTCCTTTCCAGCCTCTGAGGGCACCGACCTGTTCACGGTGCTGGTCCATGAGTTTGGCCACGCACTGGGCCTGGCCCACTCCTCGTCTCAGCTCTCAGTGATGAGACCATACTACCAGGGTCCTGCGGGAGACCCCCTCCACTACCACCTCGGTCAGCAGGATCTGCAGCGCATAACCCAGCTGTACGGTACGGCCTTTGGCAGAGTTTGCCTTTGCTGCATTTATGTTCGACCACCGTTCGCTGTTCATCGTTATTTGGCAAAACGTTATGCGGACAACTCGTGCTCCAATATTCAACGTGCGTCCATATAGATATTCATTCACAAAGGTAGCTCTCTCCCTCAGTATCACTGAGGACATGCGTACCTCTGCTGGTCACATCAGGTATTACAGTCAGTCAGTGATCTGGTTTTTTATTGTGAAGGTGTAATCAGGGGTGTGCCAAAACCTTTTTTCTTGGGAGAAGCGTGTACAGGCACACACTGTTGAAGGGTAAAACGATGGAATTTGAATTTCTTCAGATGCCCTGTTACCAGGCTACAGTATGAACAGAACTATATACACATAATCTTATTAATCCGAAAGGTAAAATTAAACTGTACGTCGACTTATATAAAATAACCTTTTCCTCTCATCCAAACTAACGAAAGAGATCCAGATAAATTGAATATAAAAGAGTAATCCAGCCTAATGGAAGAAATAGTGTGTGAGTTTGTGTGACTGATTCAGGACCCAGCGGTACTTGGATGCTGCTGCTCATTGTCATCCAAAACCTCGCTTTCAATTCCTACTTTTTTTCTCTTTCCACTGGAAAAGTCCTTTTCATCATGTGCTCTCACTCTTTCTCCCTTTTTCTGTCAATTCGTGAAGAAATCATGGACAATGTGTATCTAGATAAGCTTAAGAAAGTGAAGTTACTGGTGAAAGTTGGACATCCTAAGCGGATTGCTTTCCCTGGATTAAAGAAAAACACAAGATCAGGTAGTTGACAAAATCCTTTCTCATAAATTGTCAGTTGTTTTTTTTTAATCTAGAAAATACAATGTTCTTCCGTATACACAAATGGCTACTCAGATGGTTTCCATCTTTAGAATCCAATCCAATTCAAACTGATTCTAAATGCGCCCCTGGCTAAAAGTAACCTTACTCTCCAAACATTATCACGGACAACGCAGGATGTCCTGTGCTTGGCTTGGAGCCAGAGGGAACAGGGCCACTGGTAGGCCTTGATCCTGTGGGTGGGGGCACCACACCACGGTAGAAATGTGAAATCAAGAATATTGATAGTTTGGAAATGCCCAATCTGTTTCCCATCTCATTGTGGAAAGTACCAAAATCCCCTAGGTGGGCAAAAATCTGGAAAACCCTACACAGCTTTCGTTCTTCCACTCTGGTGGTCCCGTATAGCGGGGTCTCTTTTTACGCTACCTGCTCGGAGGTAATTCCGTGTTCTCACCGACCAAGTCATCCCCGTCTAGAGGTCATTTAGAGTGCTCTGTTCGCTGGTCTACCAACGCATGGTCGAACCTGTGCATACGTGTACCCACAGCCCAAGTCTGTGAATGACACATTTTCTGGGGAACCCTTCTTACACAGTCATTCTGCTTTCTTCTGTGGCCCAAGGCATTTTGTCCTTTTTAAAAAAATTTAATCTGATAACAACAGTCTTAATGTGAATGACGCAAGGTGAGAATTTTTGAGTTGAAAACAAAATGTTGCTCGGGACTGAGTACCGTACTCTTAAGTTTCAGTAGGTACCAAAGTGGAGGGTGAGCGTGTCAGTACAATTATTGTGTCTAATTCTTTCTAAGCACGGTTGAACAGATTGAGCTGTTCTGTAGTTTGAACTTTTCTGGCCTCTGGTTTAGGTAACAGGAACCAGCTGCTTGCCACTGAGGCTGCTCACTTGGCAGCCGAGCCTGAGCTGCCCCAAAGAGACCGTTACCACCACCACCACCACCACCACCACAACCAACGTCATCATCATCACCATCACAGACATGGGTATGACGTCCAGATGAAGCTCATATTTCTTCTGCTTATAGTCTTCAAGTAGAAATTAGGATCAAATGGCACACTTGATTTTGCCATAACTTTTTATTATAAAAATCATTGGGATCAAATTTGGAAGTGAGACTCTGGTGATGCATTGAGGTAGATCGTGACTCCAAAGAAACTAGGAAAGACCCTGGAGTCCAGAGGCTGGTGTGGGTTTCCTATGAGGCTCTTGAGTATTTCACCTGTTGGCAGATCCTCACACACCCCAAACCAGAATTTCTGGATGGGTGCATAGGACTGCAGAGTGTGCATCATCAGTTGTGTTATCTGTGCACTGTGAGTAGATGTTAGCGTGTAGAAGAATCCAGAACATCCTCTGTCCTTTATAAGGCGTTCTACAAGGAAAGGATATTGTCAGTTTTCAGAAAACCTGAATGTTATTATGTCATTAAAACCCAAAGAAAGAGCTTAAAGGTGTCACGATAAAATAGTCCCTAACTGTTCCTCCCCCTTAGCTCTTCTATTGATCGCTGCAACACCAGTTTTGATGCCGTGGCCAAGATCAGAGGAGAGACCTTCTTCTTTAAAGGTTTGAAAAATTCACTTACTTAACCCTATAATGCCAAATGTAACATATTTGATACGTCTTGTATCTGAAGTCTTTCTGATCTGAGACATTTAGCATCATTCAATGGTAAAAGCTTTGCTCAAACCCCTGTTGTACACATTCAGATATACCTGATAACAGCCAGTAGAAGACTACACCAAAATATATTTTTGACTTATTGCACGCTAATTTGATCAAAATAATTTCTGTTCTTTTTTCTTCATATGTTGTTGAGGGGCCAAAGAAAGACTTCAGACTTTAAAAAATCCAATATTCTTCCTATTTTTCTTGGATCGGTCTTTAAATGATTAATGATTACATGTGGTAGACTTTCTTTTTCTGGGTGAGGTCACAGCCTGTCACAGCCTGTCCCAGCTGTCGGTGGGCCCATCACAGGAAATACCGTAACCCCTTTTTAACAAGAAGTTATTTCTTCCTAACATACCATACAAACTAGATTCTGACTACTGAACAGGTGGTGAGGTTCTTCTTCAGAGTGTAAAGAGTAAGCTCTTTCCTGCATTCGATATAATGACTGCAGTACAGGACAGTGTCTGAACGGATGATGTAGGCCTGTCGGGTTATACCCTGATGCTTGAGGGCTTTAAGAGCCGCACACCTGTCCTCCATTCTGTTGACTATCTTCATTCCAGGTCAGACGGTGTGGCGGGTCAACAGCGGCGGTTTGGTGTCAGGGCGTGGGGCTTCGGTCAGGAGGCTGTGGGGGGGTCTACCCGCTGACCTGTTGAGGATTCACGCTGTGGTCGAGAGACATTCGGACCACGCTATCATCTTCATCAGTGGTAAAGGACAATAGTGACACATATTTTATCATTCTATCTCAGGAAGTTAGGGAGTTTTTTCAAGAAAAAGAATCACCAAAATTACCAGAATGGTTTAGAGCAATAGGGTAATACACACAGTGCACCACAACTTTGGCTTAAAAACCACAATACTGTCACAAAGTTAAAAAACAGGTACCTTAATTGGAGACGAAAATATACCCAGCAGAACTGAATCGGCAATGGAGAGGAATTAGAACAAGAGTGTCAAACTGGATATGAATTTCAGAGCATCTTTCCCCTCCAATTCTGGATATCCATCCATCCATTTTCGTAAATGCCTATTCCCTAATGGGGTCGCTGGGGGGACTGGAGCCTATCCCAGTAGTCGATGGGCGAGAGGCAGAGTCACCCTGGATGGTCTGCCAGTCCATTGGAGAGCCACAAAGAGACACACAAGGACAAAAACTCATCAGGGCAATTTAGAATGTCCAATCAAGCTAACATGCAGGTTTTTGGATGGTGGGAGGAAGCCAGAGAACCCGGAGAGAACCCACACAGACACAGGAAGAACATGCAGACTCCACCCAGAAAGGTCCTGGTTCTCCCGGGAGTCGAACCCATAACCTTCTTGCTGTGCGGCTAACCACCACACCACCGTGCAACCTCAATTCAGGATATTGAACTGGATATATAACTTCTTATCCTGCGAATAACCCAGCTGCAGACAGCCACGTATGTCATGACTGAAACTCCATCCCGAGCTGGAGCTGGAGAAGGCATTTAGAATGAGAGGTGGCATGTCTTTAGGAAAAGAAAAGCAGAGCCTCTACCCTACACCAAGCATTCACGATAGTCTCTTTTATTGTGTGAATACATGCAGTTTATTTGGAAGCTTTAAATAAAAGTCTGCACATCAAGCTAAAGACAGACCACACTGAGCATTTTGTTGTACATATCAGATAAGGTGCAGTCTGGCTCCTTTGAACATAGATACCCCAAAAAAGTGTGGAGTTCTGCCTCGTCTAACAGAATACAACAGTAAACCTTTGGATAGAAACACTTATATGTGAAAAACAAACCTTTTTTCCACCTATATTCAACCTTGATGACACCTTTTGGACAAACCACACAATGAAATGTCTCCCTGTTGCAGGTTCCCAGTTCTGGGTGTTCAGGGACCTGTCCCTGCAAGACGGCTACCCACGGCCTGTGTCTGCTCTCAGGATGGGGTTTGGTTCAGCTGGGATAGATGGCGATGGTGAAGAGGAGGAGGCGTCAGGATCAGACAGGCTGGGCCTCGTCTGGGACCCAGAGGAGGGCCCTGTGTGGGGGAAAGTTAAGGAACCGGGGAAAGAGGGGCATGAGGACATCTGGACTCAGCTGCTTGAGGAGGGTGTAAATGGCATCACCAAAGATCACGATGGTAAGGACTGACTCATCGCATGCAACCCTGTCAGCACCAGGCACTCATTATCAAAGATAAATCAAATAAAGAATACTTTATGACAAAGCCTAATACTTATGACCTATTACTTATGAGCCAAAATCTTCTCATTCCAACTTCCAGGATCCATCAATCTCTTCAAGGGAGACTCGTACTGGAAGTTCATGTTTCCAGGCTCCTCGCCACTGGAGGGATACCCTCGATCCTCTGCAGTAGACTGGCTGGACTGCGCTGACTCCTGGCCGGCCAAGGGCAATTTTTCTCTGTCTCTGACTCTGCCTGCAGGAAGACAAGAGCTCAAAGAAAGACGGTGGGCGGACGGTGAGGATGAGGACACAGAAAGGAGGAAAAGGAGCAGGCATGGACACAAACACAGAGAGCACAGCGGAGCGCACAGTGAGACGCAGTGCACCTGCCGAAACGCAGCACTGGGTGGCAGCATGGCAGCGATGGCTTCCCCCCTGCTGCTGGTTACATGGACCGTGTTGGCTGTTTAAAACTGCTTATGAAAATAAAACTTATTTGACTGGATTGTGGGCAGGAAACACGGAAATAGCATCTCAAAATCAGATGAATGTCTAATAGACAGCAGTTCAGCTCCAGTTTGAGTTCCATAAGCTGTTGTTCAAACGTCCAGATGTTACATCTGCCTCCATCTAATGTGAGCTTCAGGTTTCAAAGGTCCTTTTTTTTTTTTAAAGAAGCATCCCATCTGAATGAATTGACCTCCAATGTCAACCATGATAAATGCTGTTTGAACTCAAAGTGGGAAAGAGATGAGATTTGTTTTTCTTTTAGGACTGGAGACAGTAGACCGTCTGTAGGCTGCACAATGGCAAGTTCCATTACCTGATCCGCTGAGTGCTGTTTGGACCAGTGCTCAAAACTGGGAATAAGTCAGCTGATTGACAAAACTCTCACAGTGCAGGGACAGAGTTAACATGGCTTCATTTCTAATGTGTTGGCTTGATCTGAGAAAAAATAATAAATCCTGTGTACAACTGCTATGGAACATGTATCTGTAAACTAATCAAGATTAAACAGCCCAGTGGTATAAAGCCACAAAGAATGTTGCAGTTCCAGCTCATTTAGTAACAGCTGAGTAATCCGTGATGTCACCAGAACCGAGCGCAGACGGACTCATTTGTCCCCGACCGAGGAAAGTTTTGGAGCGAGAAAACTTCCACATGCTCAGAGGCAAAGTCGGTGAGCCTTAAAAACCCCAGTGGAGGACGTACTCAGAGGGTTGACTTGGCTGTTCCTGACAGATGGTAATGCGGCATCATCATCGAGATAAGCTGATCACACTTTCCGGATGAGAGACTGGAACGGGCATGTGCTTTGACAGTTTGGCATGGCAAATACCATGACTTTAAGGTATTAATCCCACAAGAATGCAGCAGAATGTAGAGACTTTTGAGACACATGGGCGTAATAAAGGACTGGCAAATATAATCTGGCAGCACAGCAATAAATCCTCTTTTGTTAGTGGAAAATCTCCTGCATTATGATTTATGGCAATTGCTGAGCCTCCGGGATGTTAGACTACTGTAAAGAGCACTTTCAAATGGCACACACCTCGTCCAACATGTTCAAATGAGATATATGCAAAGTTTGTAAAGGTGGCATCTGAGAATAGTCAATAGACAATGAATGCAACAATCTTGGTACAGTATCCAGGATTCAATAATTCACTGGAATGCAAACTGCTGCAAAAAAAGCGAATCTCATTGCCTTACCAGTCTTACTATCTATAATAGGTACAGGTGAAGAGGCAGTGGCATGGTAGACACATAGCAAGCATTGGGCAGGAAGCCAAAGCTGAAGCTTTTTTTACTCAAATGATACTGAATGAAACTCAGATTTAGAGTTCCGTTTCACTATTTTAATCAGGACGTAGCTTTGAGAAACCACTCCATTATGTGACTGAAAGAGCATATTTGTGTGTCTGAAACGGCTGCCGAGGCAAAAAGTTGACACCTAATCAGGTCATTAAGCCTCCTATATGTGTATGACCACTTTCAAAAGTTATGGTTTCTCAATTCTGTCATTGATCCTCAGAGCAGCACATCTTGACCCATCGTCTAGATGAGCAGAAGTTTGAATTTTTTGCCACTGTATTCTGAAACAGAGAGCCATATGTATTGAGTTCATGGAGGCACACTGGGATGGAGGAATTACAACATGAATTCTCAGTCGTGTTGATAACCAGCAACTGGCCACATGTTTTCAGACAAAGAACATTAATTAGAAAAAGGTCAGTCCAACAGTGGATGAGGGAATATTTGTTTTTCAGCTCAATAAAGGGATGGAGCTTTTCTTTTAGAAGACAATCAGATCACTACATCTTTTTACATTGGACACAATCATTCAACGCTGACTAAGTAAAAAGTAGCCAAACTTCACACAAAAAGAAACTGCCAGAAATCCTCCTTTTAAAAGTCTCTCTATGGGTGCTTGGAATTGACCTGTGAAAACATTATCTTTTTAGGACCATAAATAACATATTTTAAGAAAATGTAAGCTTTTTTTCTTTGAAATTAAAATGTTTTAAAATATGGGATGGATTCCGCCACTTCGGACCCCTTATTAATTATGACTACTCTGCTGGTCTCTACAGATGTTAGACGCTAATCACCGCGCAGAACAAAGGTTCCCAAACAAGCTGTAAACTCTTCACTCTCTGTTGCATCATGATCCACATGCGTCATTTTGCATCTCTATAATTCAATCTACAAATCAAGCCTTTATCCCCAAATGACACAGAGCAGCCAGCCCTTTAAGCAAAAAGGCCATTCTGCCCATTTGACCCGGAATATGCCATTTCATCTAAAGCTTTCTGGTTTGAAACCACTGAAGATCTCTAAGACTATTTTGATGGGGGAAATGCATTAATGGGATGTTTATGGTACTTTTCGTGCTTCAACTTACTACTTTTTATTTAAGTGCTGCATGAATTGTAATACTGATGATGTTTAAATGATTTGAAAAATCTGAACATGTCTGTTTTAAGAATGTTGTCGAATGTTGAAGAATGATCAATGGTTCTCTTTACAAACCCGTCGGACTTGTCCTGTTTTGGAGGCTTTTTTTTGTTGATTGCCCTTTAATTGAGTCCATAATGGCAGTGAACAAGTATTTAACTATCCAAAATAGCTGGTTTGTGTATTTGTGTGTTCATAGGGACTGAGCAGCATTGAAGTAGTAAGAGCTGATCCTTCTTTCCTGGGGTGTATGGTAGCTTGAGTTGTTTTGTGATTTATTTATATGATGGCTCACAGGAAAAGCATGAAAACAGAAGATGATAGCAGTAGTTTTTTTTTTTAGGGCGGCCGATGATGTGGTGGTTAGCACCATCTCCTCACAGGAAGAAGGTCTTGGGTTCAAGTCCCACGGGGGAACCAGGACCTTCCTGTGTGAAGTTTGCATGTTTTCCCTGTGTCTGCTCTGGTTATCTCCGGGTTCTCTGGCTCTCTGGCATTCCAAATTGCTCTAAGGAGTGTGTGTGCTTAGTTTTGTGTCTAAGTGTGGCCCTGTGATGGACTGGCTGATGGTCCAGGGTGCACCCCGCATCTCGCCCATTTACTTACTGGGTTAGGCCCCCTGTGACCCTATTAGGTAATAAGTGGTTATGATAATGGATGGATAGTTTATTTTGGGATCATTGAAATCTTTACTGGTAGCCTTGGAGTGAATTATGGTAGATCAGTGGATTCTTGCACCTCTGAAGTCAATACAAAGAATCTCAGCTCTGACCCCCCCACACTGGAACTCCCCAGAGGATTAAGTTTATTAAAAGGAAAATCCTCAGATTCCACATTATCGAGGTGAATTTCTGCAAGCGCAGCAGATAGGTTTCTGTGGTTGCCCCATCATTCTTTGAGTAAACTTCGTCGTGAGATCAGCAGAATTCCTACAGACTCATTTCAGCTGCAGCAGTGCCAGATAAGCGTATGGAGAGATGTGAGTCAATATGGAACATAGTAACTCCACTGTACCCAGTGCTCCTCAGAACAAATACTCAGTTCTTTTTATCCGGTTACAATGATCATCATTTCAATCTAGAACTCAAAGTGAACAATGAAAACATCACTGATCGATCGTTTTATGTGGAGGGAGGCATTCCCACGAAGAAAAGGGTGAACTGACCCAACTCCGCACAGAGGATCAGTACGTTACAGTTTGACAGGCAGGGGAAATCCTTGTGCAGTTGCATTAGGACCGGTTTGTCACGACAGAGAGATAAGACGAGCTCACTGCTTTTCTTTATCTCAGCCATCTGATTGGTTCAGGCCACATAAATCTCTTTCCACCTTTAAATTAGTCAGCCCTTTCACAGTTGAGAAATAAAGACCTTTCTCACTTTTCATGTTGACTGGAAGTTTTAACTAGAATCCATCACATACAACAATCACACAACACAACAATCTTTGCCTCCAGGAAAAAACACAAAAACAGCTAATTTGAAAAGTAGAACATAGAAAACATAATTGTTGATCAATTATGATGCATTAAAGGAGAAAGAATCATCTCATCATTCAGCTGCAGAATCTTGTTGTCAGTAAAAGAGTTTTGAAAATGAAAGTGTCTAACACATTTTTCAATTCATGCCAGTTTTTTCCTATTTTGTGGAGTTGTTAGCTGAAACTGAAGCTACGCTTTGCATCATTTGATCAATGCAATTTTTCTCCCATTGCAAAGATTTATAGACATGAATAACAAAGGAAAGGAACAAAAAAATCCATCCATTTTCTGAACTAGTTATTCCCCCCCGAAACAAAATCTGGATTCATTTTCAACATTATGACTTTAGCACAATGTAGTTTCCTTTTTTTTTTATTATACATGCAAGTCTCCCAGGAACCGTCTTTTTAAGTAGGACTGTTCCAGCTGTGTCTGGTGCAAAACAAGCCTCCTGTGGTAGTGCTGTCATAGTGCGGTCATAGTGCTTAGTCAGAGTAATTTCCCAGGCCGCTTAACACTCAGTGATCTTTTAAACTACATTCCATATTCACCATTCACCCACACACTCATATGGAACGTCCACGGTGTTACCGGCTACACGGTGCTTTTGAGCATCAGCCACATTCACATTCTTCAAAGAAAATGTAGGATTCTGCATCTCTCCAGGGACACGTTGACTTTGTCATTTTACCAGGAAGAAAGCAGTTCAACTCTTTTCTTTTTTCGGGAAACAGCAGGTCTATACTGTCACCTGTATTGTTCAAGATATAGACGATTGAAATGATATAACTCCCAGACCAAAGTGCAAATACAGTGCTCCATAAAATGTACATTTTTCTATGAACGTGTTTAGCAGTTGCTTTTATCCAAAGCGTCTTACAATGCGGATATAACATTACAGTGAGCATCAACCTGACAGTGAGATACAGAGAGGGAAGTAACCGGTCAGGCTGATGGAGGTATTAGGAACAGTGGAAACCTGACCAGGAAAAAAAGCACACTCCCTCAATCTAAAAAATAATGTCGGGTGACAAAACAAAACAAAAACAAAATAAAGATTCAAGGGCAGGAACAAAAATACAAAGAGATTCTGGAAAAATAAACTAAACCACTGTGAAAAAGCGCAGGAAAAAGTAATGGAAAAAAACAGGAGAAGGTATCAACACGAATAATCCGTAAGCCAACACAAGAAAGTGTCAACCAAAGATCTTGCCAGCAGACACAAGGAAAAAGCACCTCACTCCAATCTGCTGTGGCAGGCCACAGGAAAATACCCAGGTGACCCTGCTCTCAGGTGTGTGCTATGAAGCCGCACCTCTCAAGGTGCCTTCAGGTACAAACGAAAAAAAACACAACAAAATGTCAGGAGGCAACAGTAGCGAGCGACAGTGTAGAAATAGAGAGTAGTAGATAAAGACAATATATGTATATATATATATAAGGAGAGAGAGAGAGAGAGAGAGAGAAAAAGAGAGAGAGAATGGAGAAGTCGAGTTGAAAGGCCAAAGACAAAATAAACATGCTGTCAGAGCCCAGAACCTGCATCCAGAAACATGACCTGAAATTGTATAAGCCATAATAACAAGCCACAGACAAAT